TGATCTGTAAAATAAAAAAATAAATGCAGATTAGTGTTTGAAATAATTAATATTTATAAAATAATTACTGCGCACATTAAACTTTATATTCGTTTATTTATGCACACATCTAAACAAAGAATTAAAATTTTCAAAAATATATTTTTTGAATAAAGAAAAAAGTTTAATTAGTTGAAATAATAACATGTAAAAAATTTCTAAAAATGGTGAATATTAATTTACTATTATAAATATTTTATATCCGCTACATTATATAATATTTTATATGCAATATTTTGCGAATAACAAATAGATGAATATTCACTTTGACTTGCTTTTCTACGCTAGTTTGAACAAAATTTAACCCTGGATATAAAAATGTGAAGCATTTATCATGTTGAAGAAAAAGGAAGAAGGGAACAAATTTATTTTTATTTCTTTCTCATATAAGTATATATAGAAAAATATATAAATAAAAAAATAAAAATAAAATTTTATCCAAGATTATTATTATATTATTTTTCTCTCTTTTTGTTATATATTTTCTCATACATAAAAAAATATGAAAACAATTTAAATAAATATATGAATCAAGTTAATCAAAATATATTGAAAGATATTCGAAGAGTTCGTAGCAATTTTTATGACAACTTAATTAAAAGCAATTTTTATATGTTTAAGTCCATTTTTATTCAACAATGTATGTATCGTTGTTTTCGGCAACTTTGAGTCATCTCTAACAACAGAGCATACATTAGTAAATAAAAATCGACATATAAACATATAACAATTGTTTTTAATTTTGTCCTAAAAAAGATCTACAAACTTTACGACTTACCAAACCAATATATAATATCTTAGTTTGATTTATGAATAAATAAATAAAAAAAAGTACATACATGGAATATGAGTACCATAAAAAATTAGAAATAAAAATTTAAATAAAATCTTGTGTAGAATTAATACTTTATTGTACATTACTATAAAATTTATTATATAAATTAATTATATAATATTATTAAATAATATTAAATTAATATTATATAAATCTGTTATACAAATAAATAATAATATATGTATCATATTAAAATTAATATTTTTTCATGATCTTCATATTAAAATTTGGCGATAAAATACGTATAGCTTTCTTGGCGTGCAATGTACGCTTTAATTTATAATTTTGCATGTGCATCATAACGTGCACATATTCCAGGATTAAATTATGAGCAACTAATCTAAGTCCCTAACCTCATCATTTTAAAATAATGGATCGAAGAAATAGTTTTATTTTTTATAAATTTATATAAAATATTCTTATATGTAATTATATTTTTAATATTCTGCTATCGTTCTACTTATTATTGACTAAGTTTTTACATACTAACGATATTGCTTTAAAGGACTATTAGGCCGATGCAACTTGTCCGTGTTCAAATTTATATGTTGAATAATATGAATAATATGTATTTCTTTTACATAAAAACAAATGTTTCGCATACAATATTTCGCACACCTATTTTTTCCCTATCTCAACAAAAACTTCAACAAATGACACACAGGTAAATAACATTTAAGACATTGTTAATTACAAGTTGCCGGCAATAAGACAACAGACAAACGCAAACACACGACATTTAAAAAAAAAAAAAATTATTTTACATTTTAAACATTGATTGTTACATAAATGTACCCTGACATTACTTGAACGAAACATAGAATAATAAGTATGCGAGATATTATATACATAATAAAAATTTAGACGGAAACTTTAAATACTGAGAATTTTACATAAAAATGCAACAATTTGCGGCCTAATAGCCCTTCAAATCAATATTCTTAATGTAATTAAAATAAAAAAAATTTAATTTAAATAAATCAAAATAAAGCACACTTTGCTCTTTTTTGATGTACAACGCATTTTACAAACTATATCTTTTTTTAAATGATTTTTTAATGATTTTTATAATTATAATTTAATATAACATATATTTTATAAATATATATAATAAATGTGATGACACAAACAAATTTAATTTAAATCAATTAAAAGAAATAAGTACTTTGTTGTTTTAATAATAAATGCATATACAACCCAAAATATTTCAAAAAAATACGTGAGAATGAAATTGATATAATTACCATAAAGTAATAAAAATTATACGAAGTCTATAAAATGTCTCGAAAATATTTTTACGCTATTGTTCGATCCATTATCTTAATAATAAAAAAGACAAATTGGACTGCTCACCGATCGATGCGCAGCAGCGGAGTTGTTGTTCTGTTGATCTGTAAAGCTGATCTGTAACACAGAAAATTAAATCGATTATAGAGCTGCATTCAAAATAATTAATATTTGTAAAATAATAATTGCGCACATTCAACTTTTTAACTAATTTATCTAAGCAAATATCTAATTAAATATTTATTTAAAAAGGTTAATTATTTGGAATAATAATATATATATATTAAAATTTTAATAATTAAATATGAATATTAAACATTACAAATATTTCATTGCATATTTCTAATATTTTGTGCACAACATTTTGCAAATAATTAATAACAAATAATAACTTACTCTAAAGTTGCTCCGCCGGCGCCTGATGCTCCTCCCGAGCCTCCTCCTCCTCTCAGTGGTCTTCAAAGTATTCACACGCAATCGCGACGCGAAATACGAAAATCGCACGGCACTTTAAACGGCATTCCGCGTTCTATATTATTGCGAAATTACGGCGGAACGATGTTACAATAATATATTTTAGCGATATTTTAGCCGACACTCCCGATGCGTATTTTGTCATGTTAGGACAAAAGTAAAACTCGTATATCGTTCGCACGGAATACGCGTTCGACACCCCACCGCGTACGCAACAGGTAACAATTGGGAAAGGGAGGAAGGTGGAAAATTGTAAGGAGTAATAAGAATTGAAGTAGGGGGGATAACACGCCGATACGCTAAACGGTCTGTCTCGTTCAAATGCCGCCGTGCGAATAATAAAATCCAGCTCAAGCTCAAGGATAAGGTCAAATTGGAAAAAGTACTATTTGGAAGGAGCAGGGAAAGGAATGTATACATGCCGATCAGTATGTGTAAGAGAGAAAGTGTGAGAGTGAGGAAGAGAGGATATAAAGTACGTAGGTCACAGAGCGAACGTAAACAACCCCCCCCTCCATGCC